TTCCTGGAGCCCCTTTAGGCACTGGAAGGGGCTCTGAGGTCTCCCCGGAGCCTTTTCTTCTCCAGGCTGAACCACCTCCACCTCTCCCAGCCTGTCCTCCCAGCAGAGGGGCTCCAGCCCTCCCAGCATCTTTGTGGCCTCCTCTGGACCTGTTCCAAGAGGTCCGTGTCCTTCTTCTGTTGGGACCCCCAGAGCTGGAAGGAGCACTGCAGGGAGGTCTCACCAGAGCAGAGCAGAGGTGCAGAATCACCTCCCTTCTCCTGCTGGCCACAAAAAAAAAGCTGGGCTCGTCGGGGATTTGACCCCGGGCCCTCTCGCACCCTAAGCGAGAATCATACCCCTAGACCAACGAGCCACTGTGATTTGTATGTGGAATCTTCTCGTTACTACCTCTTTCTGTCCCTACAGCAGTATATTTTCCTTTGTGACTCATACTTGCAAATTCTTAGAGCTGACAGTCAGCCAAATCTTCTTCAACCATTCCTCTTTTTGGACCACAATTTGGTTTTGGCAACAACCCTACGTGCAAGACCTCAGCATATTTAAAAGCAGAACAGTAAGGCTTCTTTTGAGACTGACCACTTTCCCCCCCCCCTTATTGCCTCGGTCTCAGGTTCCCACCACCGCTACTTCACACAGTACAGCCTCCCCCAACTCTTGTCTCCCCTCATCTGGCACCTCAAACCCCACCGCATCTGCCAGCTGACCCTCTCAGAGTCCCTAAATTGACTTCATTTTTTGCATGATGTATATATGCTCCGTTTTGAAATCTCTTCATATTTTGTCCTCCCAGCCCTTTGCTCTCCGCGTTTTCCCCTTCCCTCTCTCTAAACAAACAGTCATCCTTCATCTCACGTGCTGGGAACTTATCCTTCACTGCCCTCCTTTCATCTTTGGTTCTCAATTTTAGACCGTACCTCTAATTTTTTTTTTTTTTTAAATTTCTGCTGACAAATATTTGAGTGCATACAGTATTTCTCGTTTTGTTCTATCTTTCTGTGGGTTTCTTTAAATTTTTTTAGGCTTCACAGTCATCATTCATATTTGACTAGCTCAGACATTAAACATGACAAGTTATATTCCAGAAAATGCAAGCTTATTCCGCTTACTCTCAGCGGGAGTTAAAGCAGAGCACGCTTCTAAGCGGACCAAAAGCACCCAGAGTGCTTTAGCACAACACGCTTCAGCCAAAGGGCAGCTTCCATTTTTCAGATTTTACAGAGGAATATGTAACAATTCAGGCACTAGGGTTTCAGGGTGCTTACCAGCAATTTGACAGGTGTAGAGAATGAGATTAAAGGAGAGCAATTTGAAGACAACTCTAAATGCCTCATACATTCAGCTGCTGAAACTAATACTGAAATCACTTGTAATTACAAAGTGCTGCTGAATCAGCACTTTAGTTTCATGAAGCATCTGTCTGAAAGCCTTTCTACACATCCCCTCGGGCCAATAGGTGTGAAAGCTATATGACGTCTTCACAAGAAACAGAAATTTGGTTTCCTGGTTCAGTCAGAAATGCCCAAAGGAATACATGCAGCAGAAGCGAGTCAGCACGTACAGCTATCGGCAAGGACAGCTTCATCCCACGCGAGGGGACAATTCAAACTTGTGAGCAGCTTGACGACTGGCTGCTTTTAAAATGGAACTTGATGAATTTATTAGCTTTGTGTAACACAGCCGTCTGAGGGCTGCTATATTAAGGATAAAGGTTTTATTTTCCAGTCTTATGTTCCAACGAGTCAAAAGTAAGAGAAGTCAGTCTGCAAAACTCTAACTCCTTGAGTACTTGCTCCCACGTATTTTCACACACCCTGTTTATACCACCAGCACTGAGAATGTGTTACATACCCCTTCCTGAATGAACAGCTCTAAATCATAATTAGGGAAATGTTTTTTTCCCATTTCTTAACTCGTTTCCTGCAGAAAGTTGCAGTACGTTTGCAGGAAACAAGAGTACTCGGAATAAAAATTTGTTGAAATTGAAAGTGAGTTCAGAAAAATATGTTCTCTATAAGAGATGCCTGGAATTCCAGCCGTCGATTCAGCTCTCTAGCAAGCACTAAAGCATCTGCTTGCCCTCAAATTCTTCACTGGAGAGGGATGGGCTTAAGGACATACTTGAATGCCTTGCTGAACGCCAGTCTTACAGCCCCCATCTTAAAGAGGAACAGGTCAACCTATTAAATCCATTAAGAGCATTATAAACTCTGAACAACTCTGAACAACTCTGACAACTAAAGTTTTGAGGGCACCTTCAAGTATCTAGGTTTCTAAAATAATGCTGAGACATACAGGAGACATACTCATTTTCCCTCCAAGTGTTGATAAAAGAATATTGTCTAATAGTAAAAACAAACAAAAGCAGCTTACTATAAACCCCCAAAACACTGTCAGCTACAGCAATGTGTAAACTACAGTAGCAAATGATGATTTTAACTTGAAATAAGCTATGATCTACTGACTGACACTAGCTAATTTTAATATAAATGAGTAATTACTACACATAAGCCACTAAGTCATGACGACTGCCTAGGATATCCACTTGGCATGGATAGACACGAGTAAGTTACCGATTTTGAAGCTGCTGCAAAGATCCACTTCTGAACTCTGACTTTAAGTTCTTCGCTTCGGCAATGTTTATTTTTAGAAAGCATATCAACGATCACTGTCTTTTGCCTTGATGTCATTTCTAGAACAAGATATTGCATTAATCGTTTGGGAGCGAGAAACTTGCTTATGTTTTTTTAAACCGAAGATGACCAGTGGGGATGTTCAGTTCACTGGAAGCTTAGGGATCCTGGAGTGTTCCATATGTAATAGAAAGGGAAAAAGAGTAGGTAAAGGCAGAAATTCCACTGTGCAGAAAAGGTCAACAATTTTTATTTCTAACATTTCCTGTAGTCACTGTTACTTTAAAACTAAACATTACACATGACTTATTCTACCAGAGACTAAGGGCTTCTTTTATGCAAATCCACTTGAAAGCACTGACATTTATCTTAATAAAAGCTCATGGACTTTAACCCCCTAGGAGGAAACAACTGTAGAACAGAATCAAGTCCAAAAAGAACAAAAACAATGGTTTGGCAACTATCATTATGACTCAGAGGAAATTTATTAAGCACATCAAAGCCAAAGCTTTTCATAACAAAAAGAAATGCTAAGAATACATAAGCATATGCCTACAGGAATATTTCTTCAAAAATAACAGTGGGTTGTACTAATACTATAGGACTAAAGATACTATCACTTTAATAAAAATATCTTAATGACTAAACCTTGGTATTTACCAAATAATGGGTCATAAGTGAAGCAGGTATTTATTTCTACATGACCCATAAAAAGTGAAAGCAACCATAATAATAAACTCAAAAAGTAGTTACACATTAAATAGTAATTTGACTATCCTCCTTCCATTAACTTATTTTAAAAGAAATAAGTGGTTTATGACTAACCCACCATATTAATTTTTTCCTGCTCTGCCAAGTTGCTCAGTCTTTGCTCATAAGAATAACAAATCTCCTCCTCAAATACCATGTGCATGAATAGGTTTTGACCATCTGACGCTTTATATTACAGCAGTCTTTGATACCAGCATCCTGATGCCATGACCTCCAAGCTACAGAAGTATGGCCTTATTTTCAAAGTAGATCATCTCGACATTGTTTTTAGAATCACTTTCTTGTAACTCAATTCACTTAATTTAAAGAAAAAAAAACAACCACTATTAGTCTTGCAAACACATACTACTAAAACACAGTACTCAGAGTCTTTTCTCATAAAAAAAATAAATCTAATATGATTACTGCTGTTTCTCTAACTTACCACAGTAATTTCAGTCAAGGCTAACTGGTGAATCCTTTACTGAAGGTTAGTGGTCTAATTTGTACCAATCTGTATCTTTTCCCTGAGTTTGAATAGATCTCTTATTCTTTCAGTTTGATTTTCTAACAGCAATGCAAACCCACTGTAATTGACTGAACCATGAAAACACAAAAGCCTCTCATGCTCGAAACAAATGATAAATGCCCAAATCCTCCAAGTGTTTTGCCTCCTAATTCCTCATTTGTCTTATTTCAGCATCATGCCTAAATAGCTTGCCTGATTCAACAGTTGCCATCATTTCACTCTTCCCACAGACGGTCAACAAAGATGCTCCCAGGCAAATTAAGTCGGAAGCTTTGGGATTTTTTTTTTTTTTTAATTAAGCTGAAGACAGAATAAACAGGATTTTTAAAGACAGCCACAAATAAAAGTACAAGCAAGCATTACCAGGTATTTAAACTTTTTCTTCTACAAATTTCTGTGGTTTATTGCGTAAACAAGCTCTCTTCCTAAAACATGTGCTTTCATTAGCTTCTGCGCTCAGCGCCATACATTATATCCAGCAGATAATCAAAGGAACCATAAGCATCTAGAAATCCCGGATCCGATTAAGCCATCTAGTGCTGCAATCGGGCAGTCCCATGAGGCAAGCTTGCCTCTTTAACCGGCAGTGGCTGCAAGGAACCTACCTAAAGGGACTTCAGCTTTTTCCCACTATTAGAGCAACTAACACTTGGGTATTTGCACATGGAGTGTTAATTCCCAAGCTGCTAGCCTTTTCCCTAGCTACTGAGCTCCTTGGGAAACACTATAAAGCTGCGTTATCTCTCTGTTGGCAAAGCAAACGGGGTAAGTTAACCGTTCTCTGCCTCGGGAAACTAAGAAGATCTTGGAGAGAAACAGAGCTGTGAGGAAAAGCTATCAAAAGGAGAAAAACCCATTAATCCTACTATGTAAAACAACTCTTGATGCATTTCAGTTTCTCACGGTGTCAGGTTCATCCCTGGTACAACTTCAGTATTAACAGTATGATCAATCTTTTAAAATCACGTGCATCTTTCAGGGATAAAACAAACACAGACAACAGGCCATTCTGGATAATGAATGTTTATCCCTTGTTTCTGTAAATAAAGACGCCAGGGAACACCTTCTAATATCCCAGAGAATCCAAATGCTGGCACAGTGACTAATATTACCTATCTCAAAGGGTAAACTGGAATATCATTGGTAGTAGCTGTCTGAAAGGGTAAAACTGGAGTATTTTAAACTGTAACCATTGCACAGTATTTTATTGATATTACAAAAGATAACAAGAAAGCAATCAATATAATTGGGAAAATACTGAATTTGATTAGCCTGATGATTTAGAGAAAATAAGAATATATTTACAGCAACATGATTTGTTCAAAATACCCACACTGTCACTTTAAGTCAGGAATTTTATTATTCTGATTAGAGACAGTACGGTTGAGGTGTTCTATTGCTATACCCCAATCACTGATGCAAGTGTATCTTTGAAAAATAATT